TGGTATTAAAGGCATGTGCCACCATGCCTAGCTCTATAGGCTTGCCCTCCCCCCCACTTAACACAATTTTACATGTGTGTATGAATGTTGTATAAAAGAAGGGAAGATTGCATGTGTGTATGAGTTTATTCAACATTAACTTTTTCTGTCCTTCTATTATCATTGTTCAGTTCTACCACAAGTTATCTATATTGTCCAGTGTGTTGGAAAAATTGAATATTTAATTTTTTGTTATAAATAATGATGCCATAAAAACATTTGTCAGGCTTTATAAGTATTTGTCATGCATTCAATTCTATAGAGTGCATCTATAAAATGGGCTCTGTTGAATAAAAATGCATATGCATTTATTACATAGAAAACTGACAGAAAATAGATAGTATACCCCAAGGGATAATAAGAAAGTCCATGAAAGGATTGTTTACAAAGTTAAAGTCTACCAATAGATGGTTTAATACAAATGGGTCCAATTGTGGGAAGCCGTTATCGCCTGGACTAATTTCCTAATGCTATTGTTTCACATTGTCATAAACTTAGACATTAGACCAATGTAAATGGCCATATCTGAAGGTTTGCAGTCTCCTTGACTTATTTAAGGTGAGGTATGTGCAGAGCTTCATTCCTTCAGGATTCCTTCTTTGATTCCTCCATGACCTAGAGTCCTCTGGTAGTCCATGTTTAGTGTCATACTTTCAAATATTGCCTTCCTTTTATCTCTAGCTGTGACCTCCTGCCTCTAACTTCCAGTGATCCTTACGTAAACCAATCAGACAACCCAGAATAATCCCTTCTTTTTCAAATCCTCATTCATGCTTGCAAAGTGGCTTTTTAAATACATATAGTATCATATTTATCACTTGTAGGGATTAGAATATGGACATTTGTAAGGAGGCACTATTCTGTGTACCACATCACTCTTGCAATGAAAGCTCAAAAGAAAGTTCATGGGCTGGGGAGGTGGTTCAGCAGGTAAGATGCTTGCTAGAAACCTGACAACCTGAGTTCAAGTCCCAGAACCCACTTAGTGTGAAGAGAAAACTGACTCCCGGAAGACGGCTTGTGACCTCCATATGTTCATGGTGGCACATGTACATGTGCACACACACACACACACACACACACACACATACACACACACACACTAAATGTAAAAAGATTAAAAAGAGAAAGGAATAGTTGTGGGGCTTAGAAAGAACAGAAGCCACCCAGGAGGAAATTCAGCTCTAGATAAGGCAGCTGGTGCCAAACAGTGACCAGTCATGAGAGAATAAGGGATAACCTCCCAGAGCTCTCATTTTTCTTACCCAACCCATACCTAATTTTTTAAAT